TGTAATATTTTGTTATGAAAAATTTGAAGCATACAGAAAAGTTGAAAAGATTCTGCAGTGTTCTTGTGCACACTGCCTAGATTTAGAGTTATTTTATTAAGCTTGCTATAGCACATATCTATCCATTAGTCCTTCCCTCTCTCCACCTATCAATCCATGTGAGTTTCAAAATAAATTGCAGGCATCAGTATATTTTTCCATGAAACACTTAAGCATATGTATCATTAGTTAAAATTCAGTGTTTGTAAGCAGTTATTTCTTTTTATTTTGCAGTAAAATCAACATACAATGAAATACTCAAATCTTAAGTGGACCACCCTGTGGGTTTCAACAAATGCATACACCTGTGTAATTCACGTTTTCATCAAGATACAATCAACTGTGGAAAGCCCTGATACCATTTCTTATGCAGTCCCTGCCCCAAGTCCATCCCAGAGGTAGCTATTGTGCTGATGCTCATCTACCATAGATCAGCTTTGCCTGTTTTAGAACTTCGTGTAAATCAAAATTATGCAATATGTGCTCTTTGTGTCTGGATTCTTTCAGTGTAAAAAAAAAGTTTTTAAGATTCATCCATGGTGTTATATGTATAAGTAGTGTGTTCCTTCCTGTTGCTAAATAGGATTCCACTGTATGAATATACCACAGTTGGTTTATATATTCTCTTATTGTAATATATTTTTGGTTTTATTCAATTGTGCATGTTATAATTATAATATAAATTCAATACAAAATATAATTATCACTTTCAATTTCATAGTCACAGAAAGTTAAATTTATATACATGCTTTTATTACAAAGTATCATTAAGAGGTGAGGAATAGAAAACTTTCAAGCATAAAAATTTACATTAGGGTAAATTTCTAAGGCAGGAGTGTAAAAGAAATGAGTTTGAGGAGGGAAAATGAAACTGTGAACTGTCCAACTGTTAATGATGACCTGTATTTTTAAAATGGATGATGTGAATGTTAAATTGCTTTTAGATTCCTTTGGGTTTATCTGAGAACAATGTGACAATTTAAGAATTAAACCCTCAATATTTATAATATTCCAGAAATGGCCAATTTATGATGAAAACAGTTAGATGCCAACATAAAATTATACAAAGGGACTCATTGTTTTCCCAAATTATCTTCCAAAGCCCATTCAAAATTCCAAGAAATAAAAGAGTTTTCTCTGATGGTTGATACCTACCCTAAATTGGGTCCTGGCCTCTAGTCACTCTCTATCATTAACTGTCATCTTTAAATCTCAATAGGCCTTGAGAATACTACCAATTAGGCAATATTTATGGGTAGATTTTGGTCATATTTTGTACCTCAGAAAACTGACATTGAAGTAAACACTTGGGCCAAATGTAACTCTTGTAGTTAAATCAATGTGGTTTCATTCAAACATCTGTCTTCTTGGTGTATGGCCAAGCTCTGAACCTAAAATGGAAATGAATTTACATTTCAAAGCCTTACACTGGGAAGATTATTGGCCTTCTTTATCCTCTTCTTTTTCCTTTAAACCCATGTGACTTGGAATACTCCAAAGGAAATCATAGGTATCTTTGCATTGGCTATTTTTATTTTTCCTCAAAGAAAGTCTCTTTTTGCTAAAAACTAACATGCTACAGCTCCTGTTACAGAAAATATTGATTGTGTCTATATACGCCATGTGAAAAGAGTTCATTCATTTATACAAACTGTAGTAAAAGAGGTGGGAATTGCATAAATAAAACCATTGACTATTGAATTTTTAATTTGAATATCCTGGAACTTTCCTGAAACCTAAAGGTCATTGGTAGACTCATCCATCCAGAAAAGTTAGAAGATTAATACTATGCCCTTGTATAACGTTTTACATTTTTTTCCAGAAGATCTTCACTTTTTACCTGTCAGGATTGAATGTATACCCCTAAATTTATATGTTAAAGTCTAAATCTCCAATGTGATTGCATTAGGAGATGTGGCCTTTGGGAGGTGATTAGGTCATGAAGGTGGAACCCTCATGAATGAGGTTAGTGCTCTTATAAAGGACGCTCAGTGCAGCCTTATGCTGGATGGCTTAAATAGCAATTATTTCTCACAGTTCTGGAGGCTGGTAAGTCTGAGATCAAGACATCAGCAGATCCAGAGTCTGGTGAGAACCCACTTCCTGATTCATAGACAGATGTCTTCTCATTAATCTCCCACGGTGGAAAGAATACTGACCATAACACTGGGGACTCCCCTAGCTGTGTCCAGCATTTTAATTGTGGGGTCATAGAGAAGTCCATGGGTTCCAGGGAAGGGACCAAGTTAGGATGGGGCATCAAGGCAGAGGCTGTTTACTACCCAATACAGAACTATTTATGTGTTAACAATCAATGTGTAACTATAGCAGATGAGTATCAACCCTGGAAAGTGAAACTTTTCTGAGAAAAAAAAAATGTAGAAGCATTATCATTATCTCTTAACATTTGCAACTGAGGCCCAAGATGCCAATGTTTGTTCCCAAAGTTTCTTAAGTGAATAACAGTACTGGAAACTAGCATCCAGCTTTCTAGACTCCAGATATTACAGACCAGATCATTTGACATGTTGGGTAATGCTGTTGCTATGCCTTGATTCTCTCATATCCCTTCTTACTATTTTATCTTTTCCCTCTTTGAGGTGTTTTTGATTTCAACAAGCAACGTATGATGCACTTTTATGAAGAATTACCTTCTAGTTACTGAACCCACTTGCTTATAGGTAAAGTTCCTCAGGTTAAAACTGTGACTGATGATTAAAAATACCAATAAGGTAGGATTGACTATTAAAATTCTTCAAGTAGGAGGGCCAGGTGGCTTGGGTTAGTGATACTAGTGGATATGGTGATAAGATGTAGGTTTCAGGATACAAATATTATGAAACTAGAACTTGCCTGGAAAGAGATGTTGACTCAGGCTTTTGGCCTGAGTAACCAGGTGGACAATGAAGCAACTGATTGAGATGGACAAGATTTTAGGAGGAGCAAGCCTATAGAAGCCTGTTTTAGACACATGCTTCTATATGTTTGGTTTCATAATGTTCATTCATTATCTACTGAGGTTCTTCCCATCAAAGTGAAATGCCGAGTCAAACTATATATTTAACATGTCTGAAACCATCATTTCTATGTTGCATACATCCATGTGTAGTGACAGAGACAAAGAAAGCTAACATAATCCCTGCAATGTCATCACCTCACGTAATGTCTGTGACCTGTTCTGGGGACATGAACATATGTTATACTATAAATGGGAAACACTGACCCACCTCTGTGTCTGAACTGACTTAAATAAGTTTGACTAGTTTGCCTGAATTTACAATTTAACTGATGAGTCCAGTCAGCTTAGCAATGACTGGGAACCCAATTACAAAAAAATCAGACCCATTTGTACCAGTCCAGAGGGCCATGGTCTCTGAGCTCAGTTGGTCGGGGTGGGTAAGAGGGTTGAATTTTTTGAGACGTTGAAAATGTAAAATTCCACACAGATAATTGATATTTCTATGCAACCTAATGGTTGTTGGCACACAATGGGAAGAAAATCTTATTGAAAGAGAGTAAAATGATGTTATGGAATGATCTCTGTAAATTTAAGCCATTCTCAAAGAAATGTCTGAAAGTGTGTTTTAGTCTCTTCTTCATATATATATTTAACAGGAAAATTATTGGACATGCCAAAGAGCAGCTGCCAACTAACAGTTTAGTTCAGCCACTGAGGTGAATTTTTTACTCTTTTTTTTATCATTAGCCCAGTCCCTCATTATTCTCATGAAACCTATTTTACTTCCTGTTATGCTGCAATATTTGAATGAGATTAAATGTAGGAGTAGCCACAGGACTAAACAGTGATGAACTGGAACAGCCAACCCTACCTCAGACAAACAGAGCAAGTAGTCCCCTGCAGGTGGAATTTTGGGAGGATAGAGTAGTGGTAACAACCACACTGAGCAAGACAGCCCTGGCTTCAGAGAGCTTGCAATTAGGTTTGCTTAGGAAGGAAATTAGAAAGTAGGAGTAATGCAAACAAAGGAAACCAGAGGGTGACCAGAGGTAAAGGATCTATAAATAGATCATCACAACTGTGAAGGAATAAAGCTCAGGAAGAGGCAAATAGTAAAGGCCAAAGGTCTTCCAAAACTCAGCTCAGGATCTTCCTTCCCCAAAATGTGTCTTTTCTATTATTCTGCTCACCAAATATCAAGGATATTTTGGCATGACCAAATGTCTCCATGGATGTTTTGGTCAGGACCAAATGTCTGCTAGTTAGATAAATAGATAAACCAATTAGATAGATAGATAGATAGATAGATAGATAGATAGATAGATAGATAGACAGACAGATAGATGATTGATTTTAAGGAATTGGCTCATGTGATTATGGAGGTTTAGCAAGTCCAAAATCTGATATAATATCTGGCAGGCTGAAACTTAGGAAAGAGTTGTAGCTTAAGTGCCAAGGCCATCTTCTGTCAGGATGCCTTCTTGATCAGAAGACAGTCAGTCTTTTACTCTTAAGGCCTTCAAGTGATTAGATGAGACCTACTCATATTAGGGAGAGTGGAAAAGAAATAAGAGTTTTACTCAAAGTCTAGTGATTTAAATGTTAATCTCATCAAAAAACACCTTCATAGAAACATCCAGAATAATGTTTGACCATTAATTACATCATTTAATTGTCATGTAGCTATTTCTATAAAAATAATATAATTTTTTCCAGTTTTCTTGGCTATTTTGTAAGTTACTATTTCATGTATAATTATTAATAATTTGCCAATTTTATTGCTTCTCAGCCTTTTGGCTAAGATCAAGTGTAGTATCTGTTCTTATCAGTTTAATAATTTGCTAATTTATAACGTATGTGTTCCAAGATTAAGTAAAGTATCGTTATTTTACTGGGTACTGTGACCCAGCCAAATTGACACGTAAAATTAACCAGGACACCTACCCATACTCACAGGATGCACATACCTGAGTGTCAAGTTGACACTTTCAGAGTAGAAAGTAGGAAGTTGAATATACTGGGAGTAGCTGAGGTAGGGGCTGCCAGTTTACACCTGCAGGAAGCTTGCTTCTGCAGAGGTCAAAGCGGGGCTGAATACAAGGCTGTCTGTGCTCATGGAGTCTCCAATATTATTCCATATTACATTTTCCTTTTCAACACTGAAGAAAAAAAGGTGTTTGAGCCAAAGCAAATAGTTCCATTTGCCTAAATTTGTATTTAGAAACTAAAAGGGAACCTGTGTACATTGTCACATGAAAGCAGAAAAAAGTATACCTTTTCTAATGACACTTTCAAACCAAATTGAAAGCAATCAATCATTTTTTAGTAAAAGAATACTGAAATTTTTAACCAGTCAACTTTAGACATTTGATATGATGTAAAGAAAAAAGAAATATGTGCTCCTCTCAGCAGATATTATCTTATACATAATAGGAGAAAACAAAATCAAAGACTTTTGCTTTAACAATCAAAAAGCATAAGATTTTCCTTTCTAGAGATTGGAGAAATGCCAGGATTGTTGGGATATTTCCCTGTGTCTGAGAAGTGAAACATCCTCAGAGACTCCCAATGCCACTAACCCATGTTGATGAAAAGTTTTGATACATATACAGATTAAATAATCCCTTTTCTGAAATCCCATTTTGAGGGAGGTGGAAAAAGATTTACTTCAGTTTTTGAATAAACTCAGCCAATTTGGTTAATTTAAGATGCTTAAGACATAAAACACATAACTTTTTAAAATAGATTATTTCAAAATGTTTAGTGCCTGATTCTGTTTATTTGAGGTACCTAAAATAGTCAAATTCATAAAGGTAGAAAATTGAATGGTGGTTGCCAGAACCTGTGAGGACAGAAATGGGGAGTTATTGTTCAATGGGAACAGAGCTTGAAGTGAAGAAAATGTTCTGGAGATTATGGTAATGATGATTGCACAATAATATGAATGTACTTAATGCCTGAGAATCATATACTTAAAAATAGTGAAAATGTTAAGTTTTATGTATATTTATTTTACCACAATAAAAAAGTATTTACTGCAGAAACTTAGCTGTAATGAGTAATTCAGTGGATTACACCAGCTCCTTGGCAATGACCAGGTTGTTTAGGTCTGACTGACTATAAAAATCAACAACTTTAAGGAGTATTACATGGTTTTCATTATAAAACATAAGTCTATTTTCTAACTTGCTGACAGAATGAGGAAAAATGTGATTAAGAGAATGCTCTTAAAGATAAAAGGTCAAAAATTTGGCCTGTGTCCTATGTTAGCAATGGGAAGCATGTAGGGCAGGAAAAGAATTCTTCTCACAGAACAGGAATTCTCTACAATTTCTTCTTAAAGACTACTTTTAAAAAATAATAGGTAATTATAATCTAATGAGAAAAATACTGCTTTTTTATTGTCTTGGGCACAGTCTATGAGCAATGCATTCTTTGACTTTATTAATTGTTGCCTTCCCATCATTTTTACTAATATGCACTGACATTTTAACTACCAATGCACTTTAAATAAAAGCTTTTAAAAATGTTTTTTATTTATTGATTTTAGAGAGAGAGGCAAAGAGAGAGGGACAAAAATAGACATTGATTTGTTGTTTCACTTATTTATGCATTCATTGGTTGATTCTTGTATGTGTCCTGACTAGGGATTGAATTTACAACCTTGGCATATCTGGGCAACACTCTAACCAACTGAGCTACTTGGCCAAGGCCAAGTCAATCTTTTTCAATGAAAAAATATAAAATTCCTAAATATCACTCTACCTAATTAGGAGAGTTTATATTTTATTTCTTCTGATACTTAATTTTGGAGCTTATATATTATAAACTAGTGATTGTTAAGGTTATACATAAAATAGCCAAATATAAAATAATTATAAAATAGACAAGTAAATTGAAAATAAGTATAAGTATTCTTTATATAGAAATATATACATGACAATTATATAATATATGAAAAGCTCTTAATACAGGATCTAGTACATAGTAAGTGCTCAATAAAAGTTGTTTTATAGCCCTGGCTGGCGTAGCTCAGTGGATTGAGCGCGGGCTGTGAACCAAAATGTCGCAGGTTCAATTCCTAGTCAGGGCACATGCCTGGGTTTCAGGCCATGACCCCAGCAACCGCACATTGATGTTTCTCTCTCTCTCTATCTCCCTCCCCTCCCTCTCTAAAAATAAATAAAAAATAAAATCTTAAAAAAAGTTGTTTTATATTTGACAATGTTGATGTCTTTAATTTGCTTCATTTTGAGTCTATGAATATGTAATAAATATTTAGTGTAGCTTTACTGGGTAAAAGTCATCTTCTTAGTCTGTATGGAGAAACAGAAAGTTGAAGGAAGATATATACACTATTGAAAGAAACATGAATTCTTCTAGGAGCAGGTAGAAAATAAATCACATGAATTACAAAGTACTTTACACAAGAGAGGATACCCAAGTGTTATGGGGATTCAGCTAGATCAGGGGAAATTTCAGTGAGAAAAAGCATTTATCCTGGACCTTGAAGAATGCATGAGATTTCCACTGGCAAACATGACAGAGGGAGATGAGAAACATTCTAGATGGAGGAAGTAGGGAGAGCACAGCAGCAGAGAGTGAAGAGTACGTGAAGGAACTGGATTATCAGGTTTGTTTGAAACACAGGATGATGGCAGGAGAGTTCTTGGAAATCAGATGGAAAAGACTGGTATGGCAGGAACATAAGACCTCAGATTCAGAGAATCTCTCAGATTCTGAGACAAGGAGAACCCTTGAAGGTGTTTGTACATGAAATAACATGACTAGAGGCGGTTTTAGGAAGACTGATCTAGAAGCATTCTGCTTCTGCTGTGTTGACATAGAGAGGAAAATTCCTTTTGTATAGGGAAATGTTTCATTCCCAGAAATGGCCATTGGCTTGCATTAGGCAAGAACTCACTCTTCGTTTTTGGACTTGAAGTCCAGGGTTTTGTTTTGTTTTATTTTTTATTTTTTATTTTGGTAGTACTTTAAAAGACCTCTTTTGCCACTACTACAATATCTGAATATCTGTCTGGCTCTGCAGGCAAGGTATCTCCAGTGGCTCATGGGCAGAGTTTCTGATTGAGTCTGAGCAATTAGTAGGACTCATGTCTTTTTGATGACCTTCAACAGCACTGGCTGCTGCTCACTTGGCCCCTGCCCTCCTGAGCAGTGCAGGAAATCTCAGTATTCTGTCTGGATGGGGCAAGAAAGAGGTAATCCTCTTTGGCAGTGTCCCACACAGCTGGGGAAGCCAGATACTCCACCTCCACTTTGCTCAGGAGAAATCACCACCAGAAAAGGTCTCTTTTGGCACTCAGCTGCACAGCTCTGGGGAATGGGCAATGAAGATAAAATGAAACTGTTCCTCTTACCAGCTTCAATGCATCCAGTTCCTCACACCCTCTTTTTTTCCTCCAGTAATGTGCTAGCATTTCTCTGCTGGACTCTTGGACTTCTAAATATATACTTTTACCTGCAGGAGACAGTCAAAATTCAGAGGGAATAGACTAATGTCAACAAAAGTTCACTGCCACCGATCTAATATCAACAGGAGTCCCCAATCTGGAGTGCAGAAAGAGGAGAAACTTTATTCAGGTAAACATTTTGCAAATTGGGGAAACAGCCTCTGGTGGAAACTGCAAGTGTGCTCTGCTGAGACAAAGAGGGGGTCATTTTTTATAAAGTCCCTGCCCTGATCCCTGATTTGCCCATTTTTACCCAAATGAGTAATCCCAATTTGTGCAGTCTGATTGGTCCAAATAGCACTATTCTGATTTATTGGAATTTCACGTTCTGATTGGTCATTACAGGGCTTCTCTGATTGGTCAGTAAAGATGAATGCAAATAAGAATATTGCTATGCAGTTGTGACTGGGTGGGACAGGTGTTAGCTCATTGGTTACAAGTGGATACCAGCAACATTTTTATAAAGCTCAGCCTGCAGGAACACAGTACAGGAGGTTGAAAGTTCAGTCTGGATTTTTCCTGAAATGCAGTGTGTGAGAGAGGACTCTGTTAGCAATGCCTGTTAGACTCTGGTTATGATTTTGGGTCCAATTAACCATGAGGTGTCCTTCTCAGCAGGTATTTTCCTTCTCAAAACCAATAGTAGAAAGTTCCTACTTAACCATTTGGCTGATGTCATTCCACAGATCTTCTTTTAAAGAATGAGAATAGACTCTGGCTGGTGTAGCTCAGTAGAGTGAGTGTGGGCTGAAAACCAAAGGGTCACCAGTTCAATTCCCAATTAGGGCACACGCCTGGGCTGCAGGCCAGGTACCCAGTACAGGGCATGCAAGAGGCAACCATACATTGATATTTCTCTCTCTTTCTTCTTCCCTTCCTTTCTGTCTAAATATAAATAAATAAAATCTTAAAAAAGAATAAGAGTACACATGGGAAGATTAATTTATCTTTTTTCATTCATACCTTGTAGAGAATTATTTTTATACTTTCTGATTGTGTAAAATCTGAGCAATTCAGGGCATTTTGTTTAAAATCAAATATCAAATTGAAGCTATTGAGCTGAGCTATTGGCACACGTTTCCTAGTGCATGCTTGCTGCTATCTCCATCATTGTGCAATCCCTTGGCCTCTTGCCTTTGCTGTACTGCCAAGATGTCACTCTCTAACACGCTGACTCTGGACAAGCTGAATGTGAAGGGCATGAGAGTGGACTTGAGTGTTCCTATGAAGAACAACCAAATAACAACCAGAGGATCAAGGCTGCCATACCGAGCATCAAATTCTGCTTGGACAATGGAGCCAAGTCAGTTATTCACATGAGCCACCTTGGTCAGCCTGATGGTGTCCCCATGCCTGACAAGTACTCCTTGGAGCCAGTTGCTGTAAAACTCAAATCTCTGCTGGGCAAGGATGTTCTGTTCTTGAAGGACTGCATGAGCCCTGAAGTGGAGAAAGCTTGTGATGACCCAGCTGCTGGGTCTGTCATCCTGCTGGAGAACCTTTGCTGGGCAAGGATGTTCTGTTCTTGAAGGACTGCATGAGCCCTGAAGTGGAGAAAGCTTGTGTTCACCCAGCTGCTGGGTCTGTCATCCTGCTGGAGAACCTTTGCTTTCATGTAGAAGAAGGGAAGGGAAAAGATGCTTCTGGGAACAATGTTAAAGCTGAGCCAGCTAAAGTAGAAGCTTTCTGAGCTTCACTTTCCAAGCTTGTAGATGTCCATGTCAATGATGCATTTGGCACTGCTCACCAGCCCACAGCTTTATGGTGGGAGTCAATCTGTCACAGAAAGCTGGAAGTTTTTTGATGAAGGAGCTTAACTACTTTGCCAAGGGTTTTGAAAGCCCAGAGTGACTCTTCCTGGCCATCCTGGGTGCAGCCAAAGTTGCAAACAAGATGCAGGTAATCAATAACATGATGGACCAAGTCAATGAGATGATTATTGGTGGTGGAATGGCTTTTACCTTCTTTAAGGTGCTCAACAGCTTGGAGATCAGCACTTCTCTGTTTGATGGAGAGGGAGACAAGATCATCAAAGATCTGATGTCCAAAGCTAGGAACAGTGTGAAGATTACCTTGCTGGTTGACTTTGTCCCTGCTGACAAGTTTGATGAGAATGCCAAGATTGGCCAAGCCACTGTGGCATCTGGCATACCTGCTGGCTGAATGGGTTTGGACTGTGATCCTGAGAGCAGCAAGAAATAAGCTGAGGCTGTACCTAAGGCCAAGCAGATTGTGTGGAATGGACCTGCGGGCATATTTGAATGGGAAGCTTTTGGCTGAGAGAACAAGCCCTCATGGACAAGGTGGTGAAAGCCACTTCCAGTGGCTGCATCACCATCATAGGTGGTAGAGACACTGCCACTTGCTGCCCCAGGTGGAACACAGAGGACAAAGTCAGCCTTGTCAGCCCTGGGGGTGGTGCCAGTTTGGAGCTACTGGAAGGTAAAGTCCCTCCTGGGGTGGATGCTCTCAACAACGTTTAGTACTTTTGCTGCCTTTTGGTTCCTGTGTACATCCCCTAACTCTACTTAGTGTTTTCCACATCTCTACTTGGTATTAGCTAAAATCTTACCCCATGTCAAGATTCAGCTAGTGGACAAGAGATGCAGGCTAAGAACACTTAACACAGCTACACAGCAGCATATCAGCTCATCTTTACTGTACCTTGGATTTGACTACATTCTTCAGAATCCCATTTGAATTTCTTAGCAGCCAAACTATTGTGCATTCTAGAGTGCACAAATACAAGTATAAAATATATTTCTATTTTACCTGCTAAACTGCTAGTTTACTCCTCTTCTTGGAGTAGCTTACTCTGATTAGCATTGTTATTGTTTTGCTACTCAGCATGAAAACAAGATAAAATTCTAGCTGTGGGGAGGGAGGGAAATGAAGTTGAAGATCTATTAAATAAATAATAAAAGTATTCATTGAAACTGGAAAAACAACTGAGGGTATCAATGATGGATATTATTTAAATGATGAATAAATTCAATACTTTGAGTATTAACTTCAACCAGGGTGACTGAAAAAAATGAGCTTCTGTGCTATCTCTTACCGAAATTCCAACACTGTTGATCCAAAGAACATTTTTGAAAACAGACAGCACTACTTGAATTGAACATATGATCTCTTATGGAACCCACTTTGAAAGTTAGTTCTGTGATGGCTTTTCTTAAATTTAACAAATTTGTTTTCAAAATTGAGTTTCATATAAAGCCCAAAGTGAGCAGAAGGAAGAAAACAATAGAAATAAGAGCAGAAATAAACAAAATGGAGTCTAAAAAATTACAAAAGATCTATTAATCCAAGAGCTGGCTCTTTGAAAAGATAAACAAGATTGACAAACATTTAACCTGACTCAACAAGAAATAAAGAGAGAGGAACCAAATAAATAAAATCAGAAATGAAAGAAGAGAAATAATAATTGACATTAAAAAATACAAAGGATTGTAAGGAAATATTATAAACAAGTATATGCCAACAAACTGGACAACCTAGGTGAAATGGATAAATTCCTAGAAACATGCAATTTTCCAAAACAAAATTCTCAGGAAGAGTCAGAGAATTTGGATAGACAGATTACACCTAGTTAAATTGAAGCAGTAATTTAAGAAAATCCCAAAAAACAAAAGTCCTGGACCAGGTGGCTTCAAATGTGAATGTTACCAAATATTCCAAGAATATCTAATAGCTCTCCTTCTCAACTCTTTCAAATAATTAAAGAGGAGGGAAGATTCCCAAGCTAATTTTACAAGGACAGCATCATCCTAATTCCAAAACCAGATAAAGGCACTACAAAAATAGAAAATTATAGGCCAACATCCCTGATGAACATAGATGCTAAAATCCCCAACAAAATATTAGCAAATTGAAATCAGCAATATATCAAAAAGATCATACACTACCCTGGCTGGTGTGGCTCAGTGGATTGAGTGCCAGCATGTGAACCAAAAGGTCACTGCTTTGATTCCCAGTCAGGGCACATGCCTGGGTTGTGGGACAGGTCCCTTGTGGAGGGAACATGACAGGCAACCACACATTGATGTCTCTCTCCCTCTCTTTCTTCCTCCCTTCCCCTCTCTCTAAAAATAAATGAATAAATCTTTAAAAAAATCATACACCATGATGAAGTAAGATTTATTCTGGGAATGCAAGGTTGCCACAACATTCAGAAATCAAGAAATGTGATATACCACTTAAACTAAATGAAGGATAAAAACTACATTATCATATCAATAGAAGCAGAAAAAGCATTTGATAAAATCCAGTACCCATGTATGATGAAAACTCTTAGCAAAGTGGGAATAGAGGGAACATACCTAAACATAATAAAAACCATATATGACATACCCACTGCCAGTATCATGCTCAATGGGCAAAAACTACAAGTGTTCCCCTTAAGATTGGGAACAAGACAGAGATGTCCATTTTCTCCTCTCTTATTTAACACAGTACTGGAAGTCCAAGCCACAGCAATCAGATAAGAAGAAGAAATAAAGGCATCCAAATTGGAAATGAAGAAGTAAAACCATCATTATCTGTAGATGAAATGATACTGTACATAGAGAACCCTAAAGATTCCACCAAGAAACTACTAGAACTGATAAATGAATTCAGTAAAGTAGCAGGATACAAAATCAATATCCAGAAATCAGTTGCATTTTTATATGCCAATAATGAACTATCAGAAAGGGAAATTAAAATACCAATTCCACTCACAATTGCTTCAAAAAGACAAATACCTAGAAATAAACCTAACCAAGGATGTAAAAGACCTATACTTGAAAAATCATGATAATGAAGAAAGAAATGAAGAAGATACAAATAAGTGGAAGCATATACCATGTTCATGGGTAGGAGGAATTAACATCATTAAAATGTCACACTATCAAAAACAATCTGTAGATTCAAAGCACTTCTTATCAAGATACCAATGATCCACGTCACAGAACTAGAACAAATATTTCAAACATGTACGTGAAATCACAAAAAATCTCAGATTAAC